TAAGCGTTTTATTACAAATAAATAAGCATGCACACAATTAAAAAAATAGAATAAAACACTCTTTGGTGCTGTGATCATTAAAGTTCAAAGTTAAAATGTTAAAAATATCATATTTAAACAAAAGCAGTCATCCAATGAAAAGCATGGACATAGAATATCCTCTTAATTATTTCAGAATGTGCATCTAAATAAATATTTGGAACCAACCTTGTCCCAACGTAAAGCTCAGCAGCTAATTATAAAATTGACACCATCATTTAGTTGGCAGTATAATAACTGGACCAACGTTGGCCCAATATAAATATCCCATCTTTGAAACACCTAAACAAAATAACACTCTTGCTAACATCGGGCCAACGTTGGACCAACTTGATAAGACATTTTCTTTAAGGGTGTATTACAGACACTGGGCCAACGTTGGGCCAATATACTACTACCAACTTGATAAGACACTTTCTCTAACGGTGTATTACAATCATTGGGCCAACGTTGGGCCAACATACTACTACCAACTTGATAAGACCCTTTCTCTAAGGGTGTATTACAAACATTGGGCCAAAGTTGGGCCAACATACCACTGCCAACTTGATTTGACACATTCTTTACGGGTGTACTACAAACATCGGGCCAACGTTGGGCCAACATACAACTACCAATTTGAAAAGACACTTTCTTTAAGGTTGTATTATATACAATGGGCCAACGTTGGGCCAACATCAGCATCCTTCCTTCCTTGGAAAGTAAGTTGAATGGAAATTGCTTATGTTGGACCAACGTTGGGCCAACATAGGAATTCTGTCATGGTCGAGAAGGTTGACATGGTAACATTGGTCCAACGTTGGCCCAACGTTGTTCCCCCAACGCCAACCATACAATCTTTTACCAGTGTTGGTCCAACATAGTCATGCTATCTGGGTAATATCCCTGCTTTTGTCTATGATATAATGAAATGTAGGCCCTAATGGATAAAAAAAAACTGCTTTAACCACTCACTCACATAACTTCAGAATCTGACTTTTACTCAATCTTGGTTCTACTGTAACTGATTGATTATTGTTAAAAACCAAGTCGACAATTTTTTAGAAATGATTCGGGGTCTTGATTGTGATAGATACCAGGAAACAACAACTAACGTCTGCTTGCAAGCATTAATCAGATTGAAGACGATACGTTTAATTCATTGTTTGTTTGTTTGTTATCTTGTATTATCAGTTGAATATGGTGCACATGGCTCAAGCGAGCAAAGGACGTTATTGAATTAGCACGTACACTACCTATTCAAAATGTGACTTGAGTGCATCATTGATGCACTCAATTCACATTTTGAATAGGTAGTGTACGTGGTACCAGTTACTAATATCCCTGGTTTTGTTTATGCTATAAACAAACCCAGTGGATTAAAGAACTGTTTTGAGCCACTCACTTATAAAACTTCAGAGTGTGACTTGTACTAATTAAATATTGGCTTAGATAGAAACAATGACACAAGAACGATTGAAATCTACTTGCCAGCAGTACGCGGATTCCACGTAGTTAGTTTATCTTTTTGTCACTCTAATCTTGTATTTTTCAGTTTTCAGTTGACTCACGCATAAAATTTCAGAATGTGACTTAGGTTAAATATTGGCAGTAGTCTGTCATGAAACAGGAGTGATTGAAGTCTACTTGCAAGGAGTACAGAAAATCGAGGTACATGTAGTTAGTTTATCTATTGTCTGTTTCTAATTTTGTATTTTTCAGTTGAATATGATAGGCATGGCCCAAAAGACAAGTGGACATTGAAGATGCACTCAAGTCACATTTTGAATAGGTAGTGTTAGCCAAAAAAAATAATACTCTTGTTTCCTGCTACCAGCCTGTAAAAACTAGGGTACGAAGGTAGGAAAATTATCTTATTTTATTTTATTTTTTCCAACGATATTTTTGGGATATGAACTACTACAAACCAAATTAAACATGTCATAGCTAGGTCAATATTATATTTCAAAATGAAATTCCATGTGTTTTGATGCACAACTCAAGTGGAAATTTATTAAAGTCCATATTTTAAACATATATTTCATCAAATACAATTTGAATGTATATATATATTTTTTTCACTTTTTGAACATAAAATTCCTGCAATTTCCATTTTTTCCCCCAAAAACCAAAAAAAAAAAACTTTAGGGTCGGGTGCAAAAAAATGGGGTAGGTTGGGTAGCAGGAAACAAGACAATTTTTGGGGGGCCTAAGTGGTACCAGTTGCTAATGTCCCTGCTTCAGAATGTGACTTGTACTAAATATCGGCTATGATTACAGTCAAGAAACAACAGCGATCGAGGTCTATTTGCCAGCAATACACAGGTAATGGACATAAGTTTATTTTATTGTCTGTGTGTTTGTAATGACATTTTTTCAATTCAGTATGATAGTCATAGCACAAGAGAGATGTAGACATTGTAAATGCACTCAAGTCACATTCTGAATACATAGTGTAAGTGGTACCAGTTGCTAATGTCCCTGGTTTGTCTATGCTATAAACCCAGCTGATTAAAAATAACTGTTTTGAGCCCCTTGCTTGTAATTCTTCAGAATGTGACTTGTACTAAGTCTTGGCTTTGATAAAAGCCAAGAAACAAGAGTGATTGAAGTCTACTTACAATGAGTACAAAAAATCAAGGTACATGTAGTTAGAGTAATTTACCTATTGTCTGTTTGTAATTTTGTATTTTTCAGGTGAATATGATGGGAATGGCACAAGAGACAAGAGGACATTTCAGATGCACTCAAGTCACATTCTGAATAGGTAGTGTAAGTGGTACCAGTTGCTAATGTCCCTGGTTTCGTTTATGCTATAAACAAACCCAACGGATTAAAAACCTGTTTTGAGCCACTCACTAATACAACTTCAGAATGTAACTCGTATTTAATATTGGCTGTGATAGAAGTCAAGAAACAGGAGTGATTGAAGTCTACATGCCAGCAATACACAGAATCAAGATTGTTAGTTAATTTATTGTCTGTTTCTAATTTTGTATTTTTTCGGTGAATATGATGGGAATGGCACAAGAGACAAGAGGACATTTCAGATGCACTCAAGTCACATTCTGAATAGGTAGTGTAAGTGGTGCCAGTTGCTAATGTCCCTGGTTTCGTTTATGCTATAAACAAAGTCAACGGATTAAAAAAACTGTTTTGAGCCACTCACTAATAAAACTTCAGAATGTGACTCGTACTTAATATTGGCTGTGATAGAAGTCAAGAAACAGGAGTGATTGAAGTCTACATGCCAGCAGTACACAGAATCAAGTAGTTAGTTAATTTATTGTCTGTTTCTAATTTTGTATTTTTCAAGTGAATATGATGAGAATGGCCCAAGAGACAAGAAGACATTTCAGATGCACTCAAGTCACATTCTGAATAGGTAGTGTAAGTGGTACCAGTTGCTAATGTCCCTGGTTTCGTTTATGCTATAATCAAACCCAACGGATTAAAAAACTGTTTTGAGCCACTCAATAATACAACTTCAGAATGTGACTCGTATTTAATATTGGCTGTGATAGAAGTTAAGAAACAGGAGTGATTGAATTCTACATGCCCTCAATACACAGAATCAAGGTTGTTAGTTAATTTATTGTCTGTTTCTAATTTTGTATTTTTCAGGTGAATATGATGGGAATGGCATAAGAGACAAGAGGACATTTCAGATGCAATCAAGTCACATTCTGAATAGGTAGTGTAAGTGGTACCAGTTGCTAATGTCCCTGGTTTCGTTTATGCTATAAACAAACCCAACGGATTAAAAAACTGTTTTGAGCCACTCACTAATAAAACTTCAGAATGTGACTCGTACTTAATATTGGCTGTGATAGAAGTCAAGAAACAGGAGTGATTGAAGTCTACGTCATGCCAGCAGTACACAGAATCAAGAAGTTAGTTAATTTATTGTCTGTTTCTAATTTTGTATTTTTGAAGTGAATATGATGAGAATGGCCCAAGAGACAAGAGGACATTTCAGATTTCAGACAAGAGGACATTTTTGATGCACTCAAGTCACATTCTGAATAGGTAGTGTAAGTGGTACCAGTTGCTAATGTCCCTGGTTTCGTTTATCCTATAAACAAAGCCAACGGATTAAAAACTGTTTTGAGCCACTCACTAATACAACTTCAGAATGTGACTCGTACTTAATATTGGCTGTGATAGAAGTCAAGAAACAGGAGTGATTGAAGTCTACATACCAGCAGTACACAGAATCAAGAAGTTAGTTAATTTATTGTCTGTTTCTGATTTTGTATTTTTCAGGTGAATATGATGAGAATGGCCCAAGAGACAAGAGGACATTTCAAATGCACCCAAGTCACATTCTGAATAGGTAGTGTAAGTGGTACCAGTTGCTAATGTCCCTGGTTTTGTTTATGCTGTAAACAAACCCAACGGATTAAAAAACTGTTTTGAGCCACTCACTCATAAATGTGACTTGTACTAAATATTGGCTGTGATAGAAGTCAAAAAACAACAGCCATGGAGATCTATTTGCCAGCAATACACAGGTAATGGACAGTAGGATTATTTTAGTGTCTGTGTGTTTGTAATCATGTGTTTTCAGTTGAATATGGTGTGCATGGCCCAAGTGAGAAGTAGACATTTATTGGGATGCACTCAAGTCACATTCTGAATAGGTAGTGTAAGTGGTACCAGTTGCTAATAACCCTGGTTTTGTCCATGCCATAAACGAACCTAATGGTTTAAAAACTGTTTTGAGTCAATCACTAGTAAAGCTTCTGAATGTGATTTGTACCAAGTCTTGGCTGTGCTAAAAGCAAGGACAAAAGATTGATCGAGGTCTGTTTGTTAGCAGCACACAGATGCAAGGTTGTTAATTTATTTTCTTGTCTTTAAATTTGTATTTTTCAGTTTTATATAATGATCATGACCCAAGAGACAAGAGGACATTTCAGATGCAATCAAGTCAAATTCTGAATGTGGTTCCAGTTGATTAATTCCCTGGATTTGTTTATACTATAAAGAAACCCAGCGGATTAAAAACTGTTTTGAGCCACTCTCTCATAAAACTTCAGAATGTGACTTGTACTACGTGTTGGCTGTGATAGAAGTCAAGAAATAGGAGTGATTGAAGTCTACATGCCAGCAGTACACAGAATCAAGGTAGTTAGTTTATTTTTTGTCTGTTTCTAATTTTGTATTTTTCAGGTGAATATGATGAGGATGGCCCAAGAGACAGAAGGACATTTTAGGTGCACTCAAGTCACATTCTGAATAGGTAGTGTAAGTGGTACCAGTTGCTAATGTCCCTGGTTTTGTTTATGCTATAAACAAACCCAACGGATTGAAAAAACTGTTTTGAGCCACTCACTCATAAAACTTCAGAATGTGACTCGTACTAAATATTGGCTGTGATAGAAGTCAAGAAACAACAGCTATCGAGATCTGTTTGCCAGCAATACACAGGTAATGGACAGTAGGTTTATTTTCTTGTCTGTGTGTTTGTAATCATGTGTTTTCAGTTGAATATGGTGTGTATGGCCCAAGTGAGAAGTAGACATTAATTGGGATGCACTCAAGTCACATTCTGAATAGGTAGTGTAAGTGGTACCAGTTGCTAAAGTCCCTGGTTTCGTTTATGCTATAAACAAACTCGGCGGATTAAAAAACTGTTTTGAGCCACTCACTCATAAAACTTCAGAATGTGACTTGTACTACATATTGGCTGTGATAGAAGTCAAGAAACAGGAGTGATTGAAGTCTACATGCCAGCAGTACACAGATGAAGGTAGTTAGTTTATTTGTTGTCTGTTTAGAATTTTGTATTTTTCCGTTGAATATGATGAGGATGGCCTAAGAGACAAAACGACATTTTTGATGCACTCAAGTCACATTCTGAATAGGTAGTGTAAGTGGAACAAGTTGCTAATATCCCTGGATTTGTTTATGCTATAAGCAAACCCAGTTGATTAAAAAACTGTTTTGAGCCACTCACTAATAAAACTTCAGAATGTGACTCGTACTAAATATTGGCAGTGATAGAAGACAGAAAACAAGAGTGATTGAAGTCTACATGCCAGAAGTGCACAGATTCAAGAAAGTTAATTAATTTAATTGTCTGTTTTTAAGTTTGTATTTTTCAGTTGAATATAATGAGCATAGCCAAAGAGACAATTGGACATTGTAGATGCACACGTGTCACATTCTGAATAGGTAGTGTAGATGCTACCATTTCTATATCCTTAATTGCTTATGTCCCTGGTTTTGTAAGTGCTCTTAACAAACCCAGTGGGTTAAAAAGCTGTTTCAAGCTACTCACTTAAAACCTTAGAATGTGACTTGCACTAAGACATAACTGTGATAAAACCAAGAAACAACAGCGATTGAAGTCTACCTGCCAGCAGTACACAAATTCAAGGTAGTTTTTTTTTATTGTCTCGAATTTTGTATTTTCCAGTTAAATATGATGAACATGGCCCAAGTGACAAGTGGACATTTTAGATGCACTCAGGTTACATTCTGAATAGGTAGTGTAAGTGGTACCAGTTGATAATGTCCTTGGTTTTTGTCTATACTATTAACAAACCCAGTGGATTACAAAACTGTTTTGAGCCACTCATTTATAAAACTTCAGAATATGGCTTGTACTAAGTGTTGGCTGTATAGAGGCCAAGAAACAATGGGGTCTGTACAGCAGTGCACAGTTTCAAGGTGGTTTGTTTACTAGTATTTTATTGTCTGTTTCTTATTTTGTAATTTTCAGTTGAATAGGAATTGATAGTAGCCACAGAGAGAAGTTGACATTTTCGGTGCACTCAAGTCACATTTTGAATGGTTAGTGTAAGGTGTTCCAGTTGCTAAGTCTACTTGCCAGCAGTACACACTTTCAAGATGGTTAGTTTATTTTATTGTCTGTTTTTATTTAGGTACTTTCAGTTGAATATAATAGGGTGGCCAATGAGGGAAGTGGACATTGTTTATGTGCTAAAGTCACATTCTGATTAGGTAGTGTAAGTGGTACCAGTTGCAAATGTCCCTGGCTTTGTCTATGTTATAAACAAACCCGGTGAATTAAAAAATTGTATTGAGCCACTTACTCATATAACTTCAGAATGTGACTTGATTGTATACTGTTTAACGTCAATCTAGCAAATTTTTCACTTATATAGAGACGCCACCACTTGCCGGCGGAGAGCTTCAAATTTTGTCCTAAACTCGGCACTTAGGGCCGTTGAGCAGAGAAGGATCATTTTCGTGTCAGCACCTTTTGCGACACGGGACCTCGGTTTACTGTATAGCAGGTTAAAATCGGGGTCGGAAAAGATCGCGATTTGTTCAATTTTCAGCAAATCGCGGTCGTTTGAATTCGCGGAAAGGAAAAAAACCATACATTTTTAGCTCACCTGAGCCGAAGGCTCAAGTGAGCTTTTCTGATCAAAATTTGTCCGTTGTCTGTCGTCGTTGTCGTCGGCGTCGTCGTCGTCGTCGGCGTAAACTTTTCACATTTTCATCTTCTTCTCAAGAACCACTGGGCCAATTTCAACCAAACTTGCCACAAAGTATCCTTAGGTGAAGGGGATTTAAGTTTGTTAAAATGAAGGGCCACGCCCGCTTCCAAGGGGAGATAATTATGAATTAGTGAAAAATAAATGGCATTTTTAAAAAATCTTCTTCTCAAGAACCACTGGGCCAAGAGAGATAAAACTCATGTCGAATCATCCTCAGGTAATGTAGATTCAAGTTTGTTCAAATCATGACCCCCGGGGCTAGGGTGGGGCCAAAATGGCCGACCCAAGTATTACATAGGAATATATAGGAAAAATCTTTTAAGATCTTCTTCTCAAGAACCTCTGGACCAAGAGAGATGAAACTCAAGTGGAATCATCCTCAGGTAGTGTAGATTCAAGTTTGTTCAAATCATGACCCCCGGGGCTAGGGTGGGGCCAAAATGGCTGACCCAAGTTTTAAATCTAGTAGGAATATATAGGAAAAATCTTTAAAAATCTTCTTCTCAAGAACCACTGGGCCAGGAAAGATGAAACTCATGTGGAATCATCCTCAGGTAGTGTAGATTCAAGTTTGTTCAAATCATGACCCCCGGGGCTAGGGTGGGGCCAAAATGGCTAACCCAAGTTTTACATAGGAATATATAGGAAAAATCTTTAAAAATATTCTTCTCCAGAACCACTGGGCCAGGAAAGATGAAACTCATGTGGAATCATCCTCAGGTAGTGTAGATTCAAGTTTGTTCAAATCATGACCCCCGGGGCTAGGGTGGGGCCAAAATGGCCGACCCAAGTTTTACAAAGGGATATATAGGGAAACCTTTTAAAATCTTCTTTTCAAGTACTTCAAAGCTATGATTAGTGATATTTATATGGAATCATCCTCAGGTAGTGTAGATTCTAGTTTGTTCAAATGATGAATGCCAAGGGGGGGGTGTTAAATTCAAGCCCAATGTGCTCAGGTGAGTGCTGTGGCCCCTGGGCCTCTTGTTTAAACAGTACTTGCAAGCATTTTTCTTTAGGTATATATTGTGTGAACCTTTATTTTCAGTTTCTATCTTACGAAAGTCTGTTCATGTATATCGCGCATATCAGACAGGAAAGGCAAGTCTATATATTGTGTCAATTTTGAGCCCGATTAAATAATAACTAAACACCGGACTGATCCCGATTTGAAGTCAAAATAATGTTACGCATTCAGAATATTTTTTTACTTCCGAGTCCAAATAAAAAAAATATATAGTAGTCAAATTGTTGAACTTTTCATCATATAATTGAAATTAATGAATTGTCTTCACCCGGTTTACTTTGCAAGTGCCTTGATTAAAGGTAATGACTGAGTCAGTGATAAGCACGGGTGAAATTATACAAGCTTGTTTAATTAAATAATTACATTGCACGTCTACTAGATGGCAAAACTACCGTAATCGTTAGCTATAGAAATTGATTTAACAATTAATAAGCTTTACAAAACACCAACAACTACGTGTTTGTATACACTCTCATAATTATAATGACAGTCTACATCTAATCACAGATGAAATTTCAGTTTATCTTTATAAATCTTTTCAAGAATTATTCACTGTATTTTGAATTCGCGGAATTTCTTTTTCCGTGAATATAGCAAATATTAACTCCGCGAGTTAATTTCCTGCTGTACAGTATACGGTCTCATCCGAAGGACCCTTTGTTCCCATGTGTGTTGGTTGTGATAGAAGTCAAGAAATAACAGTAATTGAAGTCTACTTGCCAGCAGTACACAGATTCAAGGTGGTTAAATTCTTTTATTGTCTGTTTCTTATTTGGTATTTTTCAGTTGATTATGATGAAGTGGCCAAAGAGAGACGTGGACATTGTTAATGCAATCAACTCACATTCTGAATAGGTAGTGTAAGTGGTGCCAATTGCTAATGTTCCTGCTTTTATCAATGCTCTAAACAAACCCAGTGGATTAAAATCTGTTTTGAGCCATTCACTCATAAAACTTCAGAGTGTGACTTTTACAAAGTCTTGGCTCTGATAGAAGCTAATGAAAGAAACAACAGAGATCGAATTCTACTCGCCAGCAGAACAAAGATTTAAGACAGTTTATTTCATTTGAGTAATTTCACAATTTCAGAAGAGATTTTTGCGTTTAGACTTAATGATTAAAATATATCTTTTGAGTTTAGGAGCTAACAATATTTAGTCGAATGTTCAGTGTTTCTTTAACTATTAGTACACTCCTAGTGTCTAGATCCCACAATATTCAATGCAAGTCAATTCTTTATTGGCACTAAAGCATATATTATACAAGAATGTGTTGTTAACCATATATCACAAATAATAAACTGTAGCAAGAATGTTTCTAATTCTAATTTTAAAACAGTCGCTGATATATAGAACGATATAAATTTTATGTATTAAGCAAACAAGATAAGGTATTAAGTCATTAACATCTAGTAACATTGAATATATTTTCCGATATTTTTATATACCGGTATATAGGACAATCTAGTAAGCAGTTTTTTCCCCATCTTCAACAATAGTTTCACAATGGAAAAAATATATTTCCTCTAGGATTGACAGGATTGCAATATCTACCTGAATCATATAACTTTTATTAACCTTTTAGATTTACGAAGTATGGAACATGCATGTCTTCTTTGTCCATAACAAGTTCGATATAAAATGTTATGCCTCACTTTCTACAGTTTCATTTCACTACCATTGATTTGGGACAGGTATATTGCATATTTTGTTATTGTCTAAATTTAAGACCAAACCAAGTACTAGTGTATATTTACTAAATGGTGAGCATGCTTATCTTTTTTATTCCTTGTCCAAGTAGGAAGTCCACAAATACTTGCTAAAATTACATAAAATTCTTTCATCTAAAAGTTTATGCTGGTATTTTTGTTTTCTTTTTTCCGCTTGTAATTTTTTATGAAATGTTACAAAATAAAACAACAAATAATCCATATTATCAAAGTCTGGGATGAAAACTGAAAGGTAATTATGAAATCTCCTTACTAACTTCCCTGTGCATCAACATAAGCACACGTATTTTACACCAGTCGGTTTATTATGTCATTGAAGAAAAAAAAATGATTAGAAAGAGAATGAGGAAATGATCATAAAAATACATGTATAGCAGAGTGGGTTTTTTTTACATAATGAGAGGAATTATTTTTTGTGAAAACATATGTTTTTGTAAATCAATAAAAAGTTATAAATATTTATGTAAATTTATCAAATTTAATTTATGATGACGTGTAACACCCTAACCTGGATCATATAATCGAGAGTAAACTTAATAAACTCCCCACTCCAAACCCCCAATCCCTCAAAAAAAGAGGGATAAGCCCGTGATGTATGATCATAAAAGCTCATACAATTATCATAAAAATTGGGACCAAGGTTAAAGTTTCTCGAATGTGGGTTAAACTCCAAGGTCAAAGGGTTAGATTAAAGGAACCCAGGGGAATGCCTTGTCATCAGAAATAAGCCTGTTAAATATTAGAGCCCTAACACCAACTGTACAAAAGTTATGACCAATGTTTAATTTTTCAAAACTAGGTCAAACTCCAAATTCAAAAGGTCAAATGTTGGCATTCAAAGGAAGGTCTTGTCTCGTGGAATACATGCACATCTGTGAAATATAAGGGTCCCAGTACTAACGCTTTAAAAGTTATGTCTAACGTTATTATTTTTTTTTTTATAAATGGGGCAAACTCCAGTTATGGCCAAGGTAAATTTTTGCAAAGATTAGATCAAAGTCCAAGGTCAAATATGTTGGTACCCGAAAAAAGGCTTACACATATAAATATGAGACATAGCACTGATTATGTGATTTCTGTTAATCTTTCTAAGACCTCTTGTTTCATGTCGTGCCCTTAGAATTGACTTGGTGTACAGATGATATAGTAATCGGTATTAAAGGATTGACAAACGATAATTGTTTCAGGGATGTAGCATCGATTAATAGCTCACCTGAGCCGAAGGCTCAAGTGAGCTTTTCTGATCACATTTTATCCGTCGTCTGTAAACTTTTCACATTTTCGACTTCTCAAGAACAACTGGGCCGATTTTAACCAAACTTGGTACAAAGCATCCTTGGGTAAAGGGAATTTAAATTGTAAAAATAAAGGGCCAAGTTTTCTCACAAGGGGAGATAATCAAGAAAAGACAAAAATAGGGTGGGGTCATTAATTAAAAATTCTTCTCAAGAACCACTGGGCCAGGAAAGCTGATACTTATGTGCAAGCATCCTGGGGGTAGTGTAGATACTAAATTGTTCAAATCATGACCCTCGGGGGTTGGGCGGGGCCAAAATGGGGAATCAGAGTTTTACATAGTGATATATAGAAAATATATTTGAAAATCTTCTTCTCAAAAGCCACTCGGTCAGAAAATCTGATACTTATGTGGAAGCATCCTGGGGTAATGTAGATTCTAAATTGTTCAACTCATGACCCCCGGGGGTTGGGCGGGGCCACACTGGGGAATCAAAGTTTTACATAGAAATATATTGGAAAAATCTTTAATAGTCTTCTTTACAAGAACCACTGGGCCAGAAAAGCTTAAACTAATACGTGGAAGCATCCTGGGGTAGTGTAGATTCTAAATTATTCAAACCGTGACCCCCGGGGGTTGGGCGGGGCCACAATAAAAAATCAAAGTTTTACATAGAAATATATGGGAAAATTTTTTTTAAGAATCTTCTTCTCAAGAACCACTGAGCCAGAAAAGCTGAAACTTATGTGGAAGCAT